GAATATCCCCCGGACTGCCAAAAGAACAAACAAGTATGTCTTGGAGAAGTGTAGCCAGGCTCCTTCTTGGAGACAAGGATGGTGAAACTGAATCTCACATACTTTGGGCATGCTGTTAGGAAGGCCCAGTCCTTAGAAAAACGTATCAGGTGGAGGGTCAGCAAAAAAGGGGAAGACCCTCAGTGAAAAAAGACTGACACAGGGACTATAAAACCAGGCTCAAGAGTATCAGAGATGGCGAGGACGACATAGTACAGGGCAAGGTTCACAGTTAATTCCACGGCTCCTAACAACTCAGTGGCAGAGTGTGTTGCACAGTTAGCCAGAATCATACTATTCACTGATTAGTATCTTTTATCATAAACATACACATATTTTAATCTAAATATATATACTTACACATTTTATGCTATTTCATTATCTATAGTACACCATAACATACTTCATTAACTGCATCTGATCCTATAGATTTCTAATTTTTGTCAGTAGAGACAAAATGTCAACAGATTTAAACAAAAATATTTGAAGGAATTTCTGAGTCCATGAGTTATTAAAAAAACACCCAAAAACCCAACAACAAACACAATACCTAAACCACCCAATCGTTGATGTAGAGTCAGACTTGACTCTTGGCTGACACTCTGTTAGATTTCTAAGTCGTAAATCACAGGAGAGGAGCTTGCCCACCTTTTTCTGTGGAGCTGCTTGGGGATTGTGAACCTTCAGAGGGTGTCTTAACTCCCTACAGACTATACCGCCGGAGCTCTGAATCCAATGCACAGCAGGATGTGAAGCCACTGCTACGTGCCAATTGCTTTCTGGAGGGGCAATAAGAATTTACACTCCTACCAGCAAAGATGTTATTGTTGTAGAGTACTATAGCATCGGAACCGACTGCCTCCAGAAACTCTATGAACTTTGATAAGTGTCAATAGTTATAGAAAAGCTTCGAGCCTTTTGTTGCTATGAGTTGTGCTCGACTTGAAGGCAATCAATAACAACAACAACAGCAACAAATTGCTCAGGTGGAGATTGTCCATCTTTCTCCTGTGGAGCAACTGGTGGATTTGAACCACTTATTTTTGATTGGCAGTGCAATTCCTTACCACTAAGCCATCAGAGATCCCTGCTATTAGCAAAGGAATAAATTGAAGTCTTATACATAACCTTCTATTTTAGACTTCTCCAGTCTTTCTATTACACAGCCTGTTGTAAAATGCAGACTTCACCCTGAAAGCAGTCCCAGATCATCTGTAGCATGGAAGCTTGCTCCCTCCTGAGCTCCTCTTCTTGCTTTCCCTCTGCCCTGTCCCTCTATGAACTAGTCACTTAGGATGAACCAATTTTCCCCCAAAACACATTTAAACATTTCCACTTTGCCATCTACTAGATATCTTACATAGAACAGGCTTCATATTAAAATGTCATCATCTCTATCTGCTTATCAATGGCAAACTTCCAATTTCTCAAGCCAAAAACCTTTGAATCATCCTTGATTTCTCTCTTTCTTATTACAATTCACACCACTTTCATCAAGAAATTTTGTGCTGCCAACCCAAAGGTGGCCGCTTTGAACCCACCAGTCACTCTGAGAGAGAGAAGCAATTCTCCAGCCTCTGAAAACCCACTGGAGGGTCAGCTATGAGTTGGTTCTGACTTGGCAGCAATGACTTTGACTTTTTTTGAACTTCAAATAAGGTACACATTCAGCTTCCTTTACCTCCTAACATCCTACTTGAAGTTATTATCATCCCTTACCCAGATTATTAAAACTGGTGTCCTCATTTTCCCGCAGTCCCCCTACCGTGTGTTCAACACTATATTCTGAGGGATGGTCTTCATACATAGTACAGCCTGTTATACCTTCGCTCAGTTATTTTATGATGACCCCATAGTGCCCAGCATATATCCAAATTCCCAAAGAAACTGGATAAAACAACGCAGGAGCCCGGCCTTCAGAGACCTGAATTTACTTCATATGACCATCTGCAGTTGAGTCCTCAACTCCAACAACACTCATTCTCTGCAGACTTTCAAATACCCCAAGGAAATTCATGCTTTCAGGCTTTTGCATAGACTCTTCCCTCCGCTAGAATGTACTTCTTCAGATACACGATTCAGCTCCCTGACTGCCTCACTGGACCACCCAATGTCATATTGCAAGAGGTTCCTCCTTCCAATTTCCCTTTACACCTGCTCTACTGTTTTTATTATTTCTAGAAATGACAACACTTTACTACATGATGTAATTATTCTATTCTCTTTCATTTATGGCACTTAAACTTCAAAAGACAGTGTGATCTTTGTGTTTGGTTCCATAAAAAATTTCAAAGTTCTAGAGAAGTGCCTGAGACACAGTTGCTGAAGAAATAAATTTAGGCAGACACACGCCTTCACAGAGGGGGTTGCACATTAGCAATATTTGGGGAAACAGGAAACATAAACCAAAAGTAGGTTGAGGACACATAGAAAAGTCCACATCTCCAAAAGAAACAGCTGCCACTCTGTCAGATCCTGCCAATTATTACCCTGCAGGAAACGAATAATACCTCTAACCTCTCCTGCCCCAAGATAACCTAATTACCAAGTGAAGATGGAAATCTAGACTTTTAAACACAATCTTTTCATTTTAAACTTCTGTCTATTGGTCAAACATTGGAAACTGAAATGACAGGTCACTCAGACTCGCACTGTGGCCTTGATCACCTGCAGAAGACGGCCACTCTGCCACAGAGCTTCCTTTGCTGGCTAATTGGTCCAGTCTTGAATGTCTGGAGCGTACTATCTATTTCATTGTGGGTTTGTATTTTGGGGGGGGGGGTGTTTTTGTTTGTTTGTTTGACATGAGTCGCTGTAACAGTACACCCTCTGGTGCCTACCCACAGTGATCACCACTGCGTCTTCTGTTCTCTGATCAGACTCTCAACACAGCATGTCCCCCAGCTCTTCTCCATCATTTCTCAGCCTTCATCTGCCTTCCTCAGCCAGGGTGAAATGTGTGCTAGAGACCAAGAAGGTATTTAGGAGCACCGTGTCAAATGTATAGCTGAATGTCACCAAAGGACAAATGAAACTCGGAGACACTAAATGTCACCTACTAAATAATAAAACTGAGATTGAGATACAACTCTTAAACTTTAAATATGACAAGCAGCATTGAGGTAGAAGAGAGACAACACTCAAACTAACGTATGTCTAAGTTTCCCAAAGTGTAAAATGCAGAGAGCTAAGTCAATGTTCTTCTCTAATGATGAAATTATTTCATAGTCCATTTCCAAAAAGATAAGCTTCAAAATTTTTCATCTATGGATTTATTATTGAAAATATATACTACAAATTTTGTTTCTTTACGTGGACACTGACTAAGATTATCATAATACCATCACTAAAAAAGAGATATAAAGACAAAACCCAAAAGTCAACAACAACAACAACAAAACCAACCCCAAGGCCATCAAGTTGATTCCAATAAGGGCATCAAGTTAATCCCACTTGACCTTCTGCCAGGCTTCTGAGAGTATAACTCTTAAAGGCAGAAGAATGTCTTGTCTTTCTCCCATGGATTCGAACCACCAGTCTTTTTGTTAGAAGCCCAATGCCACTAGAGCTCCTAGCTATCACATTACAACCACATTATAAAAAGACAAAGATAGCAAGTCACGTAATCTGAGTAAGCATGGTTTATAAAATGAGACATTATTAATATATTTATAGTGGCTTTAGAAGCAATAGAGTATTCTAAAGTTAAGTTATATGTAAAAAATTCTTCTTAAACTAATGATTCTATCAAACATTTTATTTTAAAAAAAAAGCATCACTAATTTCCATAAGTATATAGTATACATGTTAAGAGATTTAAACATTTATCTCAAAATTACAAGCTCAAAAAATGGGATTCCCCCCCAAGCATATTTTTATTGCACTTTAGGAAAAAATTTTTTTTTTTCAATAATTTGTGGATCCCAAAGCTGGCCAGCAAGTAGCCTGATAATGCAATGCATCATGTATCAGTCAACAGTTCAAATCTGAAGATTGCTCTGTGAAAAAAAGATGGTCATTCTTCTCCCATAAGGACTGCCAGTCTCAGAAAGCGGTAAAAAACCACCCTTGGTCAGACTGGATGGAATCCATGGCAAGTGGGTTTGGTTTAAGTGATTTAAGTGGGCCAGAGTGAAAACGCAAAGGCATTTTGTGCATACAGTGCATTTCCACAATATTCCACACGATGTCAGCACTTAACTGATCAACCTCAAAAATGAGCTTGGTGCTGATATATTCTCTGCAAACAGAACAATAGAGACGCTTTCATTTCGCGATCTAAGTTACAGATTTTGTAAAAATCCACTCCATAAATAGAGATGTGTGTTTCACGGACATTTCACCCTTTTTTCAGTACACTATTGGAACAGTTTATAAATACTATTATTTAGGCACTTCTTGACTGAAAATACATTTTTAGCTAGAGGATTATTTTCAAATTATGTTTCTGAACAAAATGAAAAACTTCTAATTATTTATGGAAGTCCAGGGATTATGAAGAATATAAAATATCTTTTTTTTTTCTTTTTTCTAGCTGAGTTTGATTCTGCATACACGGCCATTATACAGATAAGGAAACTGGAGGTGGGCGGAGATCCATCGTGCCCTATGGCAGGAGTCACCCACACTATACATTCACACATTTAGTGCCAACTGGAATCTCTGCGGAAGCCCTTTGCACATCTATATTTGTTTTCAGTCATTCTTCCCTTTTTATCTTTCTTTGTTTCTCAAGAACAATGGCACTCTGAGTCACCACTACTTGACACTCAGCTGTCATTATGACCGTGAACAGTTATAAGAGTCTAATTATTATAAATAATATTTACATTATCTAGTGAGGAATAGCAGGGCCTAGGATGTGTGTGTAAAGGCATACACAGAACACTCAAAATTCTTCTTAGAAGAGGGTACATCAAGAAAATGCAAGTCTATATAAATATGCATCAAGTTTTCCTTACATCATTTGGATTCTTGTCTTGTTTTTCATATTTTTCTCTGTCATAAGCCATTTTCTTCAGCAACTTCTTCATGGCTTTTCTGTCTTTCCTTTGATGTTCAGTGTTTTGCTTCCTTACTTGGTTCACAATAAATTTGGGAATCTAAAAAAAAAGAAATTAAGTTTGTGAAAGACAAGGCCCGTTATAAATTACAAATTCTCTTTATTTCTCAAATTTTTGAGCGGAGTAAAGATTCTATTTTTTAAAGACTATGCCATTTTATATTTACTCTCCATTAAGTGGAGAAAAGTGAGTGCATCATATGAACATGGCTATCGGAGGTGTGCATGATAGAATTTATGATCCATTATGTAAGGTTCTACAAGGTCTTTTGACATTTAAGGGCATAGAACAATCCTTGTCAGCCATGGAAGTTCCTGCTGGCAGGGAACAGCAAGCAGTAGAGTCCACTATTATATATTATCTATCTCAAGTCCCTCACAACAGCTTAAATATTCACATCACTACTGCTGAGTTGGAACTGACTCATAGCTGTCCCTCCAGTCACTTTTCAGAGGCTGAAAACAGCATGGAAGGAGTTTGTCCTCCTTCGCCCACTGAGCCACAGGTGCATTCAAAGGACCAGAGCGGTGCCACCTGTCAGCCAGCAGGACCTCTCACCATGGCTGCTGCCCTCTCTTGTCAAACAGGAAGAAAAAGTCACCAATGTACAAGAGTTGACAAGTACCTAGCAGTAAGCCAGGAAAAACAATTCTTAGAAATGACACTAGCCAAAAACAGAAATAAGCATTGTAAAACTCCTTTTAGGAGCTCCACCCTGGAAATTATGTTGGCATTTTAAAAATTAAGATTGAATAAATGGCCATTAACTTTAAAAAAAATAGTAATTTCAATCTTGCTGATTGCTTCTTATAGAAAAAAGATTAGTAAATGAAAGACTTCAAACTGTAGATTATATTCGTCTTTTCAAAAACTTACACTGGAGGTGTTCCTCAACAAGATACTAAGATATTAAGTAGAATATTTCAATTGGAATGTCTTTGGTGCATTTTCTGTAAATGTGTCTCTCAAAGTTATAAATTAAATTAGATAATGAGCCTTAATCAATGTGGCTCACATTCTGCTTGTTTCTGTGCTGTTGAGAATCAGGCCCCGATGATCTGTAAAAATGCAAGCTCATAATAAGGTTAAAACCGAGCACCCTTTTAAGATATTCCTAGAATTAGGATGTAAAATGCACATATCCCTTTAAAAAGAACTGTGAATGAGCTGATTTCAAGATGAGGTTTTGAAACGATTGAAGATTAAAATATTAAGCATAAGGATACTGGGGACAAGTAAATAAGTACTAAGCAAGTTTTACAAGGCTTATTCGATTAATGTAATCTTGGGATTTTAAAATAGCCATTCACAAGGGCCTCCTTGTGTATGAGGGAAAAAAATAGCACCTTTAATATTTTCAGCACACACAAATTTTAAACATCATTTTATAAAGAAGGTAGCAGAAGTGTAGTTTGACTTACACAGCATTAGGGGGTAGAGGGACGTGTCTTTATACCAGCTTTATAAAACTGAGTTTAAAATTGCTCTAAAGAACTATGATATAAAATTACAGGGTCATTAATAGATTCTAAAATGTGATACTTACCGTCCACAGAAGATTTTGATACTTAATCATCAAGTGCATGACACTAGCTGTCCCAGCAGCCATTACAAACTCTCGCTGCTCATTGGACTTCACACTCAAAGGGTGGCTCATAAAGAGATTGGGCGCCATGACCATTGCTACATTCATGACTGTCATTCGGTTTTGCTCTTTATTGTCTATTACTCTTTGGAGAAATTCGAGCAAGGCCTGAAACAGAAACGACTCTTTGAGACTTGTGTTAAATGTGAAAATAGACGATTGAAAGCACTGTAGCATACAGGACTCTTGTTTTTTAAAAATAAGCTGCGCATAATCATAGTCAGCTAAGCTGCTTCCAACAGGCCTCATCATCAAAGTTGCTCCATTAGGTTGACACATCCTGAGATGGCATTTCTTTTTCCTTCTATTAAAGACTGCAACATTGGCAAATGAGGTAGAGTGGGCATGAATATAAACTAGTTGACAGAGAGGGAAGGAGAAGCACCAGCCAGCCCTCTAGCCAACAGGAGCCATAGAGCACTGAAAAAGCATTTAAAAATATCACACAAATTCCAGGAAGAGTTACAGTTTTATCCCTAGGCAGAGATGGAGGGGAAAAGAGATTGATTTTTCTTTAAAAGGCTCATTCAACCTCAGTTCCATTTGATTTAAGGCAACTAAGAGTTGGGTGATCAAAGTAAACTAAGCTGATTGCCATAGAGTTGATTGTGATTCATAGCTTTCCTGCATGGGGTTGCCAAGGTGGTACATCTTTACATGTGGAGACTTCCCAGCTTTTTTTCTTGGAAGGGATGGTGGATTTGAACCCTTCTCTTCTGGTTGGCAACCCCACACATAACACACTATGGCACTGGGACCCTTATCTTGCTAACGTGAAACTTGCAAACAATAGTGATTGCGATGGGGGATGGGAAGTAGGATGAGTAGAAATCTAGATGAGCTTATCTAAAAATGAAGGCACAAGTAAGAAGGAAATTCTCAATAGAAGAAGTCATATTGTGCTGAGCTCAATGCTGGCCAGTCCCCTCTCCATTGTGAGTGCTCCTGTGTCCTCTGAGCCTACCGCCCACAAATGCCACAGGCAGCTGAGATTACCCTATTCCAGGCTGCAAGTTCAGCCTTTGTCTACTTAATTAAATTAATTTGAGCCTAGCAATATTTACAACAGCACAGGCTTTCCTTGCTGTCTATGGGTGAGGCCCTGCAGGAAACACATTACAGAGGTCATCTCACTTAATCCTTACCCTCTCCCAGAGCGATCCATTAGATGTCATCATCTTCCCCATTTCACAGATGAGAAAACATTTACTTAGAGACTTTAAGCTGCTTACCAGAAGGGCACACAGTTAGGAAATGATGAAAGAGGAACTTCACTGGAAATATATCAGGCTTTTGTTTCTTAGCTCTTGACCAAGAAGAGTCATATTTTGTTGGAGGTTTGTTTTGTTTTTATATTTTGCCCAAAAAGCTTACCTTTAAAATACAAAACAAACTATAACAAAATTAAAAAGACCCATATTGAAAGGGGCAGGGAGGAAAGTGCATATAACTCATAAGATATCAGGGGGGAAAAAATCCTTCTTACTGATTGATGTTGACAAAGTTTAGCTGCTATATCCAATACAAAATATACATAAAACTTGAAACAAACTAAAAGCATAGCCTTAATATCTAACAAAGAGATTTATGTATCTAATTTCTGGTACAGTGCTTATAAAGTTAAATTGTAATCCGAAATATAAGGTTATATAAACAATACATTCTCCAAAGAGGACTAAAGATTAATTGGTGAGGTTTGGAAAAAATATTTAATTTTGTTCCACAGAGAGCAGAATAATTATTCAGGGACCACTGCATCTCTTTCCTTATGGGCATAAATTACAGAGATCGGGTAATAAACCATTTTAATTATAGTGTGCATATGCAATACAGTTTTCAAAATATTACCATCAGAATTATAGTAGGCATGTATGTACATCTATATAGATAGGAAATAAATACTAAGGCGGCGACTTAGCCCTTGCTGCAAAAACTGTAGCATATTCCCTCCATCTGAATTTTAAGAACTGGCCATTTTTGGAAATTATTTCTTTTACGTGGTGGATTATAGTGGGCTACAGTCTCTGAAAGAGATCTGCATCCTAGCACACTTGCAAAATTTTTCTCTCATCTTTAGATTTTTCTCATTTGTGAAAAGGGAATCATGATTTCTTAACCTTGAAGAGAAAGTGAGAATGCACATAAAGAACTTTGTAAAACTACTAAAAGGGTAAACAAATGCCAATAATCATATTAACACCTTTGTTAAGAAGAGTTAAAGATTCTCCAAGTCAAAGTTAGACTTGATTATGGATCTAAATAGACAATGAATCAAAGGTCTAAGAGTTCTAGTTAAGTATTTATCCAAAGACACCTGGAACTTCACGCTTCGGGATCTGGGGTCTGTAGAGGGGCAGAAATATTCACACAAGTCATGATCTCATTTCTCTAAATGAAAATGGAATAAAGATCCTGTAGTTGTTGTTGTTATTTTGTGCCATCAAATCACCTGTGACTCATAGCAACCCTATGTACAATAGCTTGAAGCCTGCCTTACCCTGAGCCAGTCTCACTGACACCAACACACCTACCTCCATTGCCCCAGTCACTAATGAATGATGTCCTTCTCTAAGGACTAAGGATCCTAGTCCTTAGAAAATTAAAGAACTTCATGCTTGGATTCCTAAAATCACTCTGCAATGGAATGTGCTTCCTCTTTTGTAGAAATGAAGTTAAATGGCTTATTCGCTTGCAGGTTGGGTATATTCATTTCAGTGATTGTATTATTAAGCTTAAGGGATTTGTTTTCATCCACCAACTTTTGAAAAAAATAAATAACATTACTCCATAAATGATTATATTTTGCTCCTATCAATCTTATATCCAAATACTAAAACTACTCTAAAATAAGTTTTTTTTTTAAAAATACAGAGACATCTTCAAATATATGAGACTTTGAAGGAAATGCCTATAGAGCAGGTTTTCCCAACAGCTCTTTTCATTCCCCTGAGGATATTTTAAAGAGTCCTTTGGATACAAAGGGTTAATACAATATAATACAATACAATATACAATAATATATTGTCTATAAAATATCTAGATATAATAATATATAATATCTATTATTATATATTATATACACTAATATTATTACTATAGTATAATTAATATAACATAATATCCTATAATAACAGGGTGTTAACTGAAAGACTGACAGCTTGTATCCACCCCAGTGGTTGTTGCTGTTGTGTGCCATCAAGTTGGAAACCACTCATAGTTCACCCTCCAGCAGGTTTTCAGCAGTAGTAAATTACATAGGAGGAGACTGCCCATCCTTCTCCGACAGAGCAGCCAGTGGATTGGACCTGAGTGTCTCTGGACCTGGGTGTCTTTGGGACTGCATCACAGCTTCTTTCCACTAGGTCACCAGAGAGCCCTGTATCCACCTAGAGGCACCCAGAAAGAAGGGCCTGGAAATCGACTTCCAAAACTTCAGGCACAGTTCTGTTCTGACACATCAGGTCACATGAATCAGAATAGATTTGATGGCAACCGTTACCAGTAAATTTTTTTGTTTTTAAATTTTAAAATGAGGGTAATTATGACATCTAATAGATGGCCTTGGGACAGAATAAGGGTTACGTGAGATGACCTCTCTAATATGCTTTCTGCAGTGCCTCATCCACAGAAAACACGGACTGTCATTTTTTTTTCCATTTCTAACCTTATATATGTTCATTTACCCAGACAGGCATCTTTATGTTAGTTAGAAAACTCTTCCTGAGTATGTGACTCCCTGTACCAAAGGCACGGCTGGCAGGTAGTAGATAGACTTTGTTCGGGGGGGGGGGGGGGTGTCCCTCTTAAGGATATAACCTACACATCCATATGCAATAGCCCTGGACATACAATGTATGGGTGGAACCCTTTCTTCAGTTGGCCTCTCTCATAATTCATTGCCCAGGACCAACTCATAGCTGACCCTCAGCTGGGTTTCCAAACTTGTAAACTATATGGAAGGTGATCTCCCATCATTCTCCTAAGAAGATGCTCGTGGATTCAAACCAAGAGAGAAATAGCCTTTGGCTCAATGGTGCCAGTCTCTACCGACTTCACCATCAGGACTCCACACAATGTGTGGGAGTAATCATTTCTTGGATCTGGCCTTGGTGTCCAGAAAAAAGAAATAAAAATTAAACCTAATGCTACCTAGTCGGTTATTTATATTGATAATCAGTGAAGCAAAAGATTTCCTTTTTTTAACTTAGTAAAGAAAAAAAAGCACTTTGGAAGTTTTCCTGTAAGAGATACAATATTTTGATTCCCATCACCCTTATAAGCTGCTTCACTGGGAAAGGTTGTCTATTAGCATGCATTCCATGGGCATTAAAGAACTATCACTCATGTAGTTATACAGTTCAAGGAGTTTTAATGAGTTACAGGGAGACGTTTCCAAGTAGCACAACTTTGTTTTCATTTCTGGCCATGAGATTTCATTTTTAAACAGCCAGATATGCAAGGAATGAGGGGGCAAAGGTATCATCCTCCGCCCCACACACATTTAAAAAAGCAACAGCAAACCAAAAAAGTGCTAGAGTGAACAAACACTCCACATTTCAAGAGGTGGGGGTATCTGTCACGCTTTTCCTTTATAAAAATACGTGATTAAACCTTTTAAAACTGCTCTATAAATTTTTCCCCCTAAGGAAAATAAAAATCAATGTGAAGCAATCCAATGGCCATTATGAGAGCCACTCATAAAATGTTTTAAGTAAATGTTAACAAATTTTATGAAGATTAGACTAAGTCATAGTCAGTGATATGATAATCTTAAAGGCCTTAATTCATTGCTGTCGAGTCAGCAGCAACTCGTAGCTGACCTTGCAGGGGGTTTTCTCAGGCTTTAAATCACATGGGCAAAGACTGCACATCTTTCTCCTGTGGAGCAGCTGGTGGATTTGAACCACCTGCCTTTGAGCTGGAAGTGTAGCTCTTTACCTACATATTCCAGAAATTATAGAAATTTGTTTGGATGTGTCTAATAGACACTTCAAAATCACCAGACTGACTTATTTCAAAGGCTATCACTTGAACTGTACCATCTTAATTAAAGGAACTAGGGGGCTATAGCTAACGAAGCTTGGAATTTTTAAATGTCTTTTTAACTCATTTTTGGAGGCTTGCTGAATCTCTGCACTGTGAAATTCAGAAAATGTAGGAAAATAGAAATGAAGAACAAAAAAAAAAAAAAAAGGACCATAGTCCCATTGGTAATTGAAACTCAATACTCTGTTACAATAGAAGAAATGGCACAGTGAAAATTCCTTAAAAGATAAATAATAGACATAATATGATAAAAAGGAACAAAGATTTCCAAGAATTTCCTTCAGCAATTGTCTTTAATAAAATGTGCCTTTCCTTCCCAGCCTATTGTGTTAAAATTTCCAAGACACACCTCAAATTGTACCCACAAAGAACGACGAGGCACTCAGCTCGTATCTAAGGGTTGTGTAGTGTAAATAAACCCAGCTGACCTTTAGCATGTCCCTGTTAGCATCAGGTAGGAGGATGACAAGGAGATTCAAAGCCTGCAACTGTTGCTTCTTGGTTGGAAGATCTGTAGGCAGAGTAAATATATCAGAACTCTTTCATGAACATTTTTCTTTATTTTCTGTTTTCACCTTTTAAAGAAAGAAGTTATTTGACACAAACATGACTGTGAAGTGCTAAGACACGATGGTGGAGCGGCAGGCCTGGTGGAGCATGTGTTTGTGTTGGGATCAGTAAAAGCAGCTGTCTGAGCGCACTTCCTTTCTCTCGGGATGCTCACTTCCAACTGTGATCGCTCGAAGAGCAGCCTTATGTTTGCAGACACTCACGTGTGTGCTTTGCAAAGAATTTTTAACTTTGGTCTGATGACGATTTCACGAGGAAAAGCCAGAGAAGACCAAACCTTCTATGATGGTGTCAGGGTAACTTCTTTAACAAAACCATTTGTTTCTTCTAATGATGAATGAAAAACTAGACGGTAAGAGTCTGTCAATTCTAACAGAAATTTGTAAAACAGGGCCTGGAACACAACTACATGTAGTTCTTCAATAAATGTTCATGAGATACATTAGACCCATGAATTGAAATCAATCTATCAAAAATAGCAAAAGAAAAAAAAATAGCAAAAGATGTATTATTAGGTTCGATACTCCTCATTTTCAGTAGCTAGAGATGCGTTACATCTCCTGTGTGATTTACAGCCTCAGAAAACCCACTAGAATGCTATCTACAAGATGGTTTCGACTCCATGGCAATGGAATTGGGTTATTCCATGTAAATGACCAAAACACTCTTAAACTCATTGCTCTTAAGTCGAAATCAACTGATAGCTGAATCAGCACTGGATTCCTGGAGCTGTAAATCGCACGAACACAGTGTCCATCCTTCTCCTATGGAGATGCGGGTGGATTAGAACCCCCAGAGTCACAGCCTTTGTGTTCGTAGCACCATTCCTTAATGATGAGGCCACCAGAGCTTCCTACTAAGTGATTCTCAAGGTTATTTTAAATCATTCCTGAATTTATATTATAAGGGACAAATTTGGTCCTTTAATCACATACAAAGCATGTTTGCAAAATGGCATCATTTTACCATAAAAAAGCTTAGATAAAAAAAATGTTCAATCATGTCTCCTTCAGAAATCTTCAAAAAATGTTCTGACCCCATATAACTTATGAGAACCAAATCAATGCTGCACATTTTATGAATGGTCTGTACCAATTCTTGTGGATACTTAACACATTATGGTCATAAACACTATCCCTTTTCACCATACCTGGAGTCTTAGTTTGGAATATTAATTATACAGTCACTTGAGCCTGGTTACCATGATGGTTTTGGATGCATGATTAAGAGAGAAAGGAATAAATGTCCCTGTATATAAACTTCATAATAACTCTATGTTCAATGGAAAAGAAATCAAGGACTATTAGAGGACATTCTTCTGGAGCTGGCCTGAGACCACAAAATGGCAAAGGCATAAGGAGTCCGTCACCTTCCACCAAAATGCCTGGTTCCAGGTTTCCGCTCGGCTATTCCAGAATTTAATTTCGTAGCAATTGCTGACAGACTGCCACATCCCTTTATGTTTCTCTGATAACTGTTAATCCACAGCTTCTCCAGTAAGTGTTGCTTTTAACACTTGGCAAGAAAAAATGTATCCAAGATCTTCTGTGACTCATTCTATTACAAAAGAAATGTGATGTTTCTAGGCTCTAATGCTGAAATATATTGTACTGCTTAACTGTCATACCCCTAATCTGTATTCAGAGAGAACATTCTATTACCTACTTAGTCAGAGATGTAACTTCATAAAGAGAAAGGAAAACAACATGCGACATTGGAGCAACCATCGACATCAATGAGTCAGTATGTCTAGCCCAATATAACCAATTCTCCTTGTCATAAAAACACGTCATTAAAACAAGTCATGCAGGTGGCAGTGGTCCCAGCCCTTCTCCAACGCCCACCACACTTACTTTGGACGGCCTGAAAGGCTCTGAGGTAGTCCAGCGTGAGCAGCGGCTGAGGCAGCTCCCGAATGAAGAGCTTCAGAAGACTGGCAGCATCGTGCTGCTTGACACTATCCCAAATGAAAATCCCTTCATAAAACTTTGCTTCAAGTTCTTGGCAAAGATTCTGAAAGGCAAAAGAAAAGAAAAGGAGAAAAAAAAACCCCAAAAAACAATCCCAACACAAACAAACAAAAACCCAAGCTATCAATGTGTTTCTTTTCTGGGGAATATTTGACTCAATTTCTTATAAGGAATTGAATTCTTTTAAAAACTCAAAAACCCTCCAACTCATTGCCATTGAGTAGGAAGTGACTCAGAGCTGACCCTCCACTGGCTTTCTGAAGCTGAGTGCAGCATGAGAGGAGATTGCCCATCTTTCTCCCACGAAGCTGCAGGTGAATTTTAATTGCCAGAAAGTGCCACCTTTGGATAAGCCACACAACACCAGATGGACTCAAGCACCAGAGCACCTTATTCGATAAAAAAGACGTCTGAAAGTGCCAGAGGACAATCACTCTGCTTTACCAATGGTAACTCATTGCAAAGACCAAAATATCTTAAACCTTTCAATTTTTTCCTGGATTTTAAATAGAGCTAAGACTGTAAAGGCTTCATTAAAATATTAGTAAAGACAATGCTTTCAATCTCTCTTTTATTTTTTCAAGTGGGAGAGGAGATCACCTAGACACTAGAATTATTCTTCAAATAAAAATAAATCTATATCTTAAATTAATGGCACTTAACAACACCACCAACAACCTAGAGAGAGCTCTGTGGACCTGGTGGATAGAAAGTTATGCTACTGAAAGGGGGTGATTTTGTTCTGCAGCCCTCAGGCCTAATCTTAATTGTTTTTTTTTAAACATTTTTCTAAGTGGTATATCACTGGCCTGTCCATTTTCTGTACAAAGGTAACTCGTGGTTGCTGTGATGCTAAACACTGTGACACTGATGTGTCAAATGTGATAATGGTTACCCATGGTGGACAGTGTTTGGTGGAGCTCCCTGATTAAAACAAGCTTAGAAACAGAACTGGCATCCACTTCCGAAAGAGCTTGCCTCCGGAAACTATCTGAACGTGGAGAAATGATGAAAGTTATACAAGTGTTCAGGTCTTTCATTCATAGGGTCACTATGAGTTGTCAACAACTCAACGGCACCTAACAACAACAACATATCCTAAATTGAATAACAACAACAGCAATATATTGTTGTGTACCATCCATTCAGAACCAACCCATAGCTGATCCTCCAGTGTGTTTTCAGAGGCAATAAATGGCATTGGAGGAGAGTGCCCATCTTTCTTTCATGGAGCAGCTGATGGATTTGAACCACATTCCTTTGGGTTGGCAGCCCAACTCCTTACCACTAAGCCACAATACAATACACCAGAAAAACCACATAATGCATTTCATAAGGCTAGAGTAGAAATCCAGAGTAGATGATGACTATCTTTGATTCATCACCTCTGGAAATGAAAAACCAAATCCTATAGCAAATGAGGCATTTAAAAAAAAAATCAATACACCTGCCTTAAACGCATCAGCTGTTAGTGACATAGCCATTCTGTTGCCAGCTGTAGACGTGGGTTGAACTGATGTAGGATTAGAAATACCCAGTTCATTTACTCCAAGAGCTCAATAAAAATGTGCCAGGTAAATTATTACTAATAAATCAATTTAGCTTGGAAATTACTATTTTCTGTAAGCTTTTCACTGTGGCACAAATCCTAGCCATTAGAAATTCATCCAATTTTCTATCAATTTCTCATATTATTTAAAACAGTTCTCCTCAAAGAATGCTTTTTTTTTTATCAAAATAATGAGCTCACTACAGATTTTTCTCCCAAGCCCAGCCACAAACCTGTGTCCTAATAACTTTGTAATTAACAGAATACATGAAAATGATAGAAGAAACAGAGGAGAGATGTCAGGAAAACAGAGGAAAGATAACCAAAAATTGTACATATTATCTTTAAATTATTTATAAAAGACCAGCTGCTGCATAATTTTGTGTGTGACAACAGGCTGGGTTGAGGGGGGGAGCCAGCTGAATCCACTTAATTGGGCTTTTTAGAAATCTCACTTAGTTGAACTTGTCCTTTGGACAGCCTTCCTGTGATAAAGTAAAATCCACATTATACTCACAGTTCTGTATAAAAGTAAACATATGTTTATTACCTCTGTTGAGCTGGCCGCCACGCTCTGCTGGGGAGGGCCAGACTAGAGCACTCTGAACAATGAGCTTTCTGATACTGGAAATATGAAATCATGCGACCTATTTCTGAAGAGTACCATATTTGCACACAAATAAAATGTACATTCTATTGTGTGGAGGGGTTTTAATTGCATTCTTTTTGCTAACTCCAAATGAATTATTTTTGATAAATAAACTATGCTGTTCAAACAAAACAAGGTGTTTTTTAAAATCAGCACAGTATTCTTATAAAAATACCTCCAAGAAGAGGGCTCAGTTGGAAATCTAACGTAAAACTCATGTGATATTTGAATGAAAATACAGTCTTTCCTTGAGGAAAATGTACTTGTTAACACAAAGTATTCCAGAATCATACCTAATGTCCTCTAGTGGCTGGAGGCGAAGGTTCCATGTTGCTGTGCTATTGAGTTGAGTAGGAATCATAACATCCCTAAAAACAGCCGACTTGAGCCCTGCCCTATCCTGTACCAGTGTCATCATCTCTGACACACTACAGTGCCCTGCTGAAGTCACCATGTCAACCTATCTCATTGGGAGTCTTCCACCGGGGGTCTTCCCAGCCTTCACTGGCCTTCCATCATCCCAAGGATGATGTCCCTTTAGGCATTAGTAAATGAAATGAGACAAAGGCAAGTTCTCAAAATTCCAGACATGCCCAAAATCTTTATTCATCCCAGATACATACCCAACCCAGTGTGCAAGCTGAAACTTGTAAGCAGGGTCTATCAGGTTACCCAAACACTATTAAACTGTGATCATCATATTGGAAGAGGTACGTATAGAAGCCCTAGCTAGAAGAAACTTCTCTAAATAAGCAGATGTTGCAAAACTGTGCAACATATGCATAACAATACCAATCCTGGTGACATTAGAACACAGTCACTGAGAAGGACAGGGAGCACACACGAAGAGCTGCTGTGCCAAGTTCTAGTTTAAGTCTGAAACAAATGGGCAGACTCTTATTTATTCATATCATGAGATGACTTATTTATCAGCTCTGCTTCCTATTCCAGTTTCTCTTGGATATTCACATCCAACAAGACAATGCATTGGATGTGCAGTGATAGGTGCTAGCTCAGTTTAGAGATGAAGTGGAATTAGGGAAGCAGCTTGGATAACAGAGACAGTTAATGACCTTTCCTAGACACATTTTCCATAGAGCTACCCTTCCAAATGTTCTTGTCCCTTTAAAAATGCAAATCTCCTGGGAGGCACATCATTATGCATTAAGAACACCTGTAGGGTAATTCCACCTTGATCCTCTATGCATGGGAAATTTGATTCCCACAACAGGAGTTGGAAAAAGCAAGGAAACCAGGGTGACACACTGTACAAGAGGAGAAGAGGAAAGAAAATACCATCCAGAAAGAGGGGAAAATAATTGGAGAGATAGTTGTTGTTGGAGGTGCTGTTAAGTCCATTACAATTTAAAGGGACCCTGTGACTAACAGATCTGAATCTTGCTCTATCCTCTGTCATCCTTATCATCTCTTATATACTTGAGTTACTGATATATACCACAATGCCAGTCTACCTTGTTGAGGGTCTTCCGCTCCTCCACTGTCGACATTTTTAAGTATGATGTCTTTTCCAAAGCCTGCCCTCTCCTAACAACATGCCCAAAGTATCTGAGGTGAAGTTTCCCCATCCTCGCCTCTATAGTGTATGTGCCTGTACTTTTCCCGAAGATAGACTTGATTGTTCTCTTGGGGGTCCGTCGAAGAGTCAGTGCCTTTCTCCACACCACAACTCAAAGGCATCAATTCTACTTCTGTTATCTTCAGCCATTGTCTAACTTTCAGATGCACAGCATGGATTTGAAAAGGCCAGGGCTTGCATTAGGTGAATCTTAGTCTTTAAACTGACATCCTTGCCCTTTGGTACTCTGGAGAGGTTCTGGACAGCACATTTTTATGGGTTCACTTCACCTCTTTCACAAGCCATGCTGCTCTAAACCCGGTGAGAAAAAAAAGGCAAAGGCACACAAAAAGGAGCTTAACTCAGACAAGGATCTGAGAGTGTCTCATTTTACCAGCTCAAAAGTCTTGTGACATACTTGTTTGGGGATGTCTATCAAAGTTCCTAAGTCTGCTTATCTGGAAGAATTCCTGATAGAGCTTTTGTTCTCTTTTATGTCAACAGAAGGGAGCTCTGGTGGTTTAGTGGTAAGAAACTGTGCTGCAATCCCAAAGGCATGTGGTTCAAATCCATCTCTTGCTGTGCAAATATCTGCCTCTGAAAATCCACTGGAGGTTCAGCTATGGGTTGGTTCCAAGTCAACAGCACACACTACCAACAACAAATCAACTGACACAACTCAAACTGACTTAATCTACCATCAAAACAAAACTAGTTACCCTCCAGTTAATTCAGATGGATTCAAGGGTGGAGTTTCCCTGCATGAGGTTTGCAATGACTGAGATCTTCCATGGTGCTTCTGCACAGACTCAAACCACCAGCATTTCAGCCAGTGGCTGTGTTCTCACGCATCTGTGCCACCAGGGCTGCCCTTCCCAACTCTCAACAAACATTTCAATCACCATGTTGCTTTGCTCACCAGAATAAAGAAATGACCCTTGAATTTTGTTTGTTTACTTTTGTTCCTATTTTCTCCTCCTAACAGTACACTGAGTCCGGAGACTAAGGTGCACCTGATCCAGGCCATGGTCTTCACAATCACTTGCTTTGCATCAGAGAACTAGACAATGAGTAGCCATGATAGAAAGAAAATAGATGCTTTTGAGCTGTGGTGCTGGAGAAGAATATTGAATATATCATGGACTGCTAGGAGAACAGTTCATCCTGGAGAGGGTGAAGCCAGGCTGCTCCTTGGAGGCAAGAAATCTGAGGCTTCTGTCTGACATACTTTGGACATGTTGCAAGGCGGGATCAGTTTTTGGAGAGGGAAGTCATGCTTGGAGGGTGGAGGAACAGTACAAGAGAGGAAGACCCCTGATGAGATGAATTGATTCAATGACTGGGGTAATCAGGATAGGTATATCAGAGACAATAAAGTTGGCACAGGACAGAGTAGGTTTCAGGGCTGTTGCACATAGGATCGCAATAAGTCACAAGTGACTCAATGGCGCCTAACAACAACACTGATTACAATTATTTGCACATTTATGTATCACAGTTTTAATGTAGGTAATGTAGTAGTTTCAAAATACTGAAGTATACAAACAGAACTGGAGGTAAAAAAAAAAAAATGAAATATAAACTGACTTTTAGCCAATCTTAAAGTTGTTCTTTCACCCATTTTTCCAGCAGTGGAGGACAAATGAGGAGAGTAAGTTAGCTTTGCATGTATAATTAAATAATAACATGTTACATTAGTTAGATTACCTTGATTCTCATGGCAGCTCCAGGTATTCGTAAGAGACCTTCAGTTTCCAAACCGCCCTTCTCGATTTGAGAAATCAGCTGTGTATAAACAGAACACTCTGATTTTGGTATTCATAACAGGTACAATTCCAAATTCAACATCTGTTTCATATATAAATAAATGAAACCTGATTACAATGACACACAAATTGAAGTTTATGAGGTTTTGTATGCTATTGCAGCAACACTATTCTTTAAACCTACAAGTTCCCAAACTTTAGTTATAATTTAGAAGAAAGGTATTATTCTCCTTTATAACTGAAATGTACTATTTCCGACAACACCTGTGACAGTGCAAACATCAAAGAAAACATTCACTTTTTAAAAGCAATATAGAATATTCATTCCTTCCATTTTCCCAGAAACATTCATTCTTCAATCAAGATAATCTTTTTTCAGTTACTGTGTTTGCCTATCTATATCTTGGTTTTAGTTTGTTAAAAAAATATTTAAAATATAAAGTAGAAAATTCTTTGAAAACATTCATGTTTAGGTCTTTAAGCTTTAAGTGGCAAAGACATTTGTAAAAAGCCTTTTTTATCCCCATAGGACTTTACGAACCTTGCTACTTGGCTCTCTTCAAAATCGGCGTAAAATAACAAGTATTGTTGTTGTGTGTCCTCGAGTCAGAACCAAATCATAGCCGACCCTTCAGTGGGTTTTCAGAGGCATTTTAATCTCACAGGTGGAGAGACTGTTCATCTTTCTCCCTTGGTGGATTCAAATTGCATGCCTTTGGAATGGCAGCACAGCTACTTATGAGTAGCTCCCTTAAAATATTAAGTATAGGGTATTGTTGGTTTTGGTTTGTTTGTTTTAGAAACCATAAATCAAATGGTAACAATTAATGACAAACTGTTGGACTCTGAGAAGATAAAGTAATACTTAGTTTCTTGGCAAGCTTTGGTCTTAAATTGGAATATTAATTCCTTTGGCAGTACACGAAGATCTTCAAGATGTGCTCTGCTATGCTAGGGAAACCAACCTTTGTGTTCTTAACTGAAATACGAAGCATGCATTAGCATGACACAGATCTTCCATTCTGCCCATCCATTCTTCTTTCCCAATAGTCTTCTTACACTTTATGAAAGACACACACACACTTCACATAGTCTGACTCTGACAATAATACTCGGCATACCCTAGAGTGTAAACTCTTTTACAGAGCACAGAACTCCCCACAGAAAACCAACACATTGCCATCAAATCTATTTCAACTCAGAACAGCCTTCCAGCAGATTTTTTAGGCAACAGATCTTTACAGGAAAAGATTGCCCATCTTTCTCCTGAGGAGTGAATGGTGGGTCTCAACTGCAAACCTTATGGATAAGAACACCAAAGGAATTTAAAGTTTTTCTCTCTTTTTTTTTTTTAATTTTATTTTTTCAGGGAAGCCTCCTTTAATGATTGACTAAGACTTAATAAGCTCCATAGAGCTAAACTCCTTTTTATCTTGCTTTCTGTTAATCGAAATGTGAAGCATTTAAACGAGGACTTTTGACCTGTGTAGATACACAGGCATCAGATATATTGTTTCACACAGAAACTTGAAAGGTTGATTTTTTTTTTTTCAATGACTATATATAATTTCCAAATGATACACTGATCTTAAGAAACTCTGGTAAGACTTCAGTAAAGAGTATTTTCAAAATTACTCCACGGTTTTATTCCTAGCTAGAAAGAGAAATATCTTTGGCTCATCAAAGCAGTCTATAACTCTTATAAAATTTAACTGGAATATTTTTCAGGACTTCAAATTTCAATTTAACACTAGATAAAACACCTCATAAAAAGTTTTACAAGAAGTTATTTTAGATTAAGCAGGCATTTTTCAATAAAGGATTTAATACCAAATAATACCATATAAAATGTATTCAATGCACTGGCAACTTAATCCTAGTTCATTTTATAAAATATTTACTACGTTTCAATCTTCAGTTAAAAAATAAAATTACATCCTAGAGACCGGAAAAATTACTTTTCAGTATTTTGTGTTTCTCATTTTCATTAAGTATAAAGAAAATACTGATTATGATTTCTAAATGATGAAATGGAAGTAATTTATGGCTTTTCCATGTATGTTTTATTAATCTCAAAAATTGAATATAGCACTGAAAAAGATATATATCTACAGACTGAAGGAGTGCCATTATATCCTCTTATATTTCTCACTTGGAAAATAGTATCCCAAGTTATCAAGACATATCTCAATATTAGCTATTATTAAAATATAAATGTGCAATATGATAAATACTATCTAGTTTTTTAACTGGTTATACATAGAAGTAGAAAATAACTATTGATCCATATATTTTAATCATGCTACTTTTAGTTAAGGGAGACCTCTTGTGCTTAACCAGCTGGGAAGCTCACAAAAGGTTAGAGGTTCAAACCCACCTGCTAATCACCGGGATAGAGAAGAGGCAGTTAATTCACCTTGTAAAGTACAGTCTGATCACTAGTTTTCATGGCATTTCTCTTGAATTTAAAATTAATTCAAACAGTTTGGATACAAATTATGTCCGATCCGGCTGATTCGTTTGGCAAGGAGACATGCTAATTAGTTAAGAAAGTAGATTTTTCTTCCCGCAGATAAAAATCAATAATATTTCTGTTTTCCCAAATGTTTCTGATATTTATAATGCTTTAAACAATGTGCTTCTGATCATAAAAATAAAATCCAAAATATATTATCAGTAATAATGAACCTTTCTGTAAGTCAGTAGTTTCTAATTATTTCTATTCAACAAAACTTAAAGACATAACAGATTTGTCAGCTGATAGGTTAAAAAATATTCTCATGCAAGATCACAGTTTTACTTCTAGGTGTGTGTGTGTGTGTGTGTGTGTGAAATTTTTAAAAGTATCTACTTCACTTTATTCCTTATAGAAGTAAATTGTTTTGGTTCTTATAATAATAAAAATTAAAAGTAGAATTAGACATTGTTGATGTAAATCTAAGAATAATAATATTCATTATAAAGTCACTTAAAAACAATATTCACTTTAAAGTCATATTACCTCATTAAATTTTATGCATATTTCCAACTTTACTATTACTTTTCAAAGTTTGTATATATTGACTCATGTACATTAAAATGATATAGACAATTTTAAAAGAAATATTAACAGAAATAGGTTAGAAATATTTTAAAATGTAATATTTCATTTAGAAATGTGTGTGACATAAAAAGAATGGTAAATGTCAGTTAAAAAATAATAAAGCATGTTAGAATGGAGTTCTATGGAAGAAAAGAAAAGAAACAAAAATATAAGTCCAAGGAAAAGCAAAAATGACCCAGAATTTCCCACCGATAAAGAAGAGTCCGAGTGCATATATGAACTCTGGTGGCAAAGTGTTAAATATGTGTCTGCTAACCAAAAAGGTACACAGTTTGAGCCTCTTAGCAGCTCAACAGAAGACGTGGCAGTCTGTTTCTAGGAAGACTATAGCAATAGAAACCAAATGACACAGTTGTGTTTTATTGCAGTGGGTCATTCTGACTTGGAATGTCATTGACAGCAGTGGGTTTGGTTTTGGTTTTGTTTGTATATATTTTAAAAGAATGATGGTGAAAACCACATCAATGTTAACTAAGGTCTTTGGATTCTACTGGATGTTTTTAAAAGAATGATGTTAAGAGTCTTATTCCAAAATGCCCACATTTTTTATATGTCAGAATTTTATCTTTTGTATCTAGATCAATTGTCAAATTAAAAACCTGTAACTGAACACATGTATTTAAAAAATCCATTTAAAAAATCTAATGACTGCATCAAAAATCAACATTATCTGTGTATGTTCACCAAATAATTTTTTTAATAAGGAAAATAAAAAAAATTCATTTCTTCCCAAAAAAAGTTCAAAGACATTGACTCAGGAGACACAAGAAGGTTTGAAAAGTAAAACCAACAGTAAGGAAATTAGATGCAGCCTGATTTACAACCGAATTCACCCCCAAAATAAGTATTTCTCAATTTATTTTAAAGGCAAGGAACCTGCAATTCAGAAATATTGAGAAATTATCCAACATTCAATACTAACAGTCATGCCAAAATTATTCTGGACAATCAAGAAGACCATATGCATGAAGAAGACAACTATAGATACTACAAAACTATAAATACATTAGTTGTTGGGTTAACATAACCAAACGTTAGAGGCAGCCAAGGATAACTCCAAGATAACTGACTTAAATGACTCAAATGATCAAGATATCATTTGAAGAAAACACCAAAGGATTTCAGAGAGGATGATTTCACAGGGCCAGGGCTCTGATGGCCTAGTGTCAAGGAGTTGTACTCCCAACTCAAAAGTGCACAGTTCAAATCAACCAGCTGCTCCACAGGAGAAAGATGAGTATTCTCCCATGCCCCTGAAAACCCTCCAGAGTCAGCTATGGGTCAGATATAATTTAAAAACACTTAACAATAAACTTTACAAGGAGACAAAAGGATTGTTTCCACTCATTTAACTTTGCTGAGATCTTGAGTTTGGACACCAATCAACCTTCAAAGTTCCCCATGCTCATGCTTGCGATCTCTAGAAATTTCAGATGTCAGTTCACGACCTATTTAATTCTAGAAGTCATGAGGAGAGGGAAGCAAACTGCTTTTCTTGCTGTGCACTGGTTGGTTATTATCACATATAATCTGTTCCCAACAAAGATAACTCAGAGGTTGGACTGAAATGTTTATATTACCATGGATAATCTCCTTATGAATAATTGAATGTTGACTATACAAGTGACTCAATAGTTTAGCAATCATTTTCTAATTCTATTTTATGGTTTCTTTACCTACTTTGGAAGTCAGCCCTGGTAAATTAAATTGGACATCCTTGCTGTAAATAGGAAAGCTCAGGAAATACATAGAGGCATAAAATATTCATGAGGCTTCAATTCCCTCGAAATTTATAAGCGGTTCCCTCTACCATGTATTATAGAACTGAAATCTCAATTATACAAAGCCAGCTAATATAAGGCAGGAAAATGATGCCAGGTAATCACAGTTAAAGTAATAGCATAGAGAACATCACCATGAAATAAAAATTATGAGCCCTTGAAACAAATTTGTTTCCTGAATAGAAAATCAAAGTACAAAATAAAAGAGCATATAAAGTAGAAAACTATATTGTGATAGTAGGAATGTATTAAAACAAACAAACAAAAAAAACCCCAAAACAAACCCAATATAAAAACCACCAAAAACCTGACTCAAGAACCTCTATTAGCTAAACACTCCAACCTACTTACTTTTTGAAAGATCAAGGGTATTCGAGTTCCTGGTACTTTTCTCTGATCTTGCTCTAGCAATACTGTCAATGGAACACCAAAGAGGCCAGAATCTACAAAGAGGAAATAAAATTGCTTCATTTCCTTCTAGTCATGAAGTATAAACAAAATTTCTATTTTAGATTGCTTGCATGCAAAATTTGTATACATTGTGTTTCACACTTTCCTTTATTCATATTGTGTTTCACATAATCATGCCCATACAGTGTGTTTTATAGCACCAACCCTCATTGAATTGTGCCCATCATTAGCCTGGCTGTTCGTGTCCCTGATGAATCTTTCCCATTTCCTTTACCCCTTCCCTGCACCCATCAAATTGTGTGACCCTGTGATTTCTCCTTTCCCATTCTTTTAAAGCTTAAGATTTCTTACATGATAATTCAGTCAAATGCGTATGTATTGAAAACCTACTCAGTGAATGATGCTGTCTGGAAGCTGTTATGAAAAAAAGCTCAAAGAAAAACTCTGGCCCTGTCAAAGTTGGAAGTGACTCAGTGTGTTTGGTTTAGGGTTACAGGGCAGTACAGCAAGAAAAGACAAGCAAACAACTGATAGCAAATAAACACTAAAATAATTAACACAGTGTAAATGGCCACACCAAAGATAGTAGGCTGTGGGAGTACATGTTGTTGTTGTTATGTGCTGTCGAGTCACCTGCAACTCATAGTGACCTTATGTACAACAGCCCTAAACCCTGCTCTATCCTGTGCCAATCTCACTGTCTGTGACACAACTACCCCAATCGTGGAATCAATCCACCTCATAGAAGGTCTTCCCCTCCTGTACTGTCCCTCAACCCCCCAAGCATGATGTCCTTCTCCAAGGATTGGTTCCTCCTTGCAACTTGTCCAATGTATGTCAGACGAAGCTTCAGAATCCTTGCCTCCAAGGAGCAGCCTGGTTTAGCCCTCTCTAGAATGGACCTGTTAGTTTTCTTAGCAGTCCCTGGTATATTCATTAAAAAATATAATCAAATTAAAAGTCTTAACCTAAATCAATACCACGTATTTTTCCCACATTGAAATTACACATAACAAAATACATTAACCAAACATCTGCTTTTTGAGAAATCTGTCAACATTATAATCTTGTTCTGTAACTGCTTTTTTTAAACAATTATAGTAGTTGTTTTGTATACCGTCAAGTTAGAACTGACTCCATGGGGTTTTCAGAAGCAGTAAAGTGCACAAGAGGAGACAGTTGTCTTCTCCTGCAGAACAGTTGATACATTGTAAACATGACCTTTGGGTTGGCATTGAAACTTCTTATCACTAAGCCACCAAAGTGCCCCAAAGTTACCGTAGGCATCATATTGTTTTAACTTAAATCTGCATTTTTACATAATTGTTATTAAATCCATAAGCAATGGAAGATAAAAAATTATGACTGTTCTAAATGAAAATCATATTCCTTGAGTTTGGTATGAGCAAAGTTTCTACCACTACACCTATTCCATTTCTATTCCTGAGCATAGAAGTGACAATGAATATTTTCTCTACAACAAACATTAATAGGTTAGATGTACAAATCAATAGCAATCCTAGGAAAGGAAATCATCTTATTATATGAGACTACATATTAGAAATCTTGACAATCACGTTATCATTTAAAAGAATGCCAATAACAGCATAGAAGAGAAGATATAATCCTCAAGAATGCTAGAAATGTATAAGATAAATATATTGGCTAAAATACATATCCATAAAAGACAGGGGAAATCTATTCTATTAACAGTGATACACTTAATAAAAATGACTTGGTATTTCTTTCTTAGCTCTGGTAGTCTAGTGGCAAGAAGATCTGCTGCAATCCCAAAGGCACACAGTTCAAGTCCAGCAGCTACTCCGTGGGAGGATGGGCAATCTCCTCTCAGGCAATTAAATGCTTCTGAAAACCCACTGGAGGGTCAGTTATGGATTGGTCCTGACACTATGGTACACAACAACCACAATAACAACAGCATTTCTCTCTCAGATGAAATACTAAAAGATAACATTTAAAAAAAAAATACAACACCTCTTTTAAGCAATGAGTCAATAAATACCTTTATTTTATATTTGGAAAGGGTTTTGTCATGGCCTTCAAAAAAGGCACCTGAACTCATCATTACACATAATGGAGTGTGGAAAAACCACTCAAAGGACCTGAGCACACACAAAGACACTATGGAGCTCAGCACAGAGCAGAAGACCTAGGGGAAGGCACACGTTGGCATTACAGAGAAATTACCTCTAAAACACAAATCAAGCAAATGCTTATCTTTGCTAAGGTTACCATAGCAACCTAACAATTCTCTTGGTTTCTCTTTAGGAGATATATCTTCAAGGTTAAGCAAGAGGACAGAGATTTCTAAACAGTAAAACTTTGTCTACAGAGAATTATTTGGATTTTGGAGCCAATATAATCTAGGAAAGCCAAAAATGAACTGGTGTTTGTCCTTTTATCATATTTCAAAAGATGTATTCTGGATAAAGCAAGCTCTCCATAAAGTCAAAATGACACCAACTCATAATGAGAACAACTTAATGGTGTTGTGTACCACAACAGCATGTTCTTAGTAGAGTACAGGATGTATTTGCAAGACAAAGTTGATGATGGTTGAACAAATGAAAAGACTACCCATTAGCTGAATCTCCTTCCAGATGAACAAACAAAAGTAATCATCCAGGTTCAACATCTGAAAGTCATTTCTTAAGATCTGATTTTGAAAAGAAATTAACTAGATCTTTTTAAATTATATGCTTTTCAGTGGAGAAAACATGTGAGCTAAGAATAGTCTTGGAATTTACTTCCACAGGAATTAGATTTTTATTATTCTTTCTCTTCTACAGTCTAGTTGATGTGTGCTTTCATCTAGTTACATTTTTTTTTACAGTAGAAAATAAAAATTTTATTTTAAAAAATAAAGTCAAAAAGGGAAAAAATCATTAGTGGATAAAATGATTTCCCTTAGTTTTGTCAACTTGAATTTAATGTTTTTCCTCAGATAAATATGTCCCATTACACTTAAATAATTTTTGTATCAGAGATTTAGATGTTCCAAAGGTTTGTTTATTCTGTGGATATTTTCAACTTCCAAGACTATGGACAAAATCCAAGCCCATCCTTTCTATGTTAGCAGACCAGTTTTCATTGCAAGATTACCTTTTGTCTTGATTTTCACAGCTTTTTCTTGTTTCAGTTCAACACCCAGTACATCATAGAGGGCAGTCAACTCAATTAGAGCTAAATGGTAAACTTTCTTCATGTCCTGGGGCGCCAGGTCACCGATTCTTGTGGTACCCGTTTTGTCTTTTGGCAATCTGAAACTCTGACAAAAACATCATTAATATAATAAAGGTTTACAGAATCCACCTCACTCAGAACAACTATGAGATTTCATTTCACCCCAGTAAGAATATAAAAATTTAACAGAACAGCAAGCAACAAATATTGGCAAGATTGTGGAGAAACTGGAACCCTTATTCACTGTTGGTGGGAGTTTAAAATGGTGCAACCACTGTGGAAGGCGGTATGGCGCTTTCTCAAAAAATTGCAAATAGAGATACCATTTGACCCAGCAATTCCACTACTGAGAATATACCCCAAAGAGACCATAACTGATACCCAAGCAGATATATGCACACCCATGTTTATCGTGGCTTTGTTCACAATAGCAAGGAGTTGGAAACAACCTAAGTGCCCATCAACAAATGAATGGATAGAGAAACTGTGGTATATTCACACAATGGAATACTACACTGCATTGAAAAACAAGAACTCATGGAATAGTATTCAAAATAGGTAACCCTGGAGGGCATTACGCTGAGTGAAATATCTCAGTCAAAAAAGGACAAATACTGAATGGTGCCACTGTGGTAAAACAAGACTGACGTCAGTTTGGGGGGAGACTGAGAAAGATGGGTAAATAATGTATACTGCATTGAAACAGATGAGGGAGAAAACTGTTTAAAAGGGATATGTGATTAGGTATTTTTGTCATGACAGGAGTCTAGAATGAAGGCTGCATAGTGGAGTGGACCTGGGGGGAGGCACTGTAAAACAATGAAAGAATTTCTCTTTTACTTTTCAAAGAAAAAAGAGTGTATTGGAGAGTAAGGGGCAAGGAGAAAAGTGCAACAATGAATGAAGGAAATTCAAAGTCTGTAAATTTTCACTGAAATTAATAATAAAAAAAATTTTAAAAATAACTAAAAAATAATTTAAAAAAGAGTACACCCCACCCTCTTTTTTTAATGAAAGGAGAAGTTACACTCAGAATAGGTGGCAAAGAAAACTAGAGCTGGATTTCTCTTGTCAGAATTAATCCCAATGCTGTTACAAAGAGTTTGTAATGTAAAGAGTTTGTACAAAAAAGTTTGTAATGCTGGTATAAATTTATGGAACATTCAAGAATCCCCATCTGAAATTGGATAAACATTTGAATCCACTCAACCTTGTAGTCAAACTCAGAAATACAAATTAATTGCTGTCAAGTCAGAATTGATTCAAAACTCATATCCATTGAGTTTCCAAGGCTGTAAATGGAACTTAAAGGGATTTTAATTTATGTCACACAAAGTGAGTAGATGGTGGATTCAAACTGCCAATAACCTGTGGCCTTAGGGTCCATAGTATACCTCTGTCTGGACTAGACATGTTTATACCAAAGAATTTGAGAATAGTTTTGTTGTTTTTAGGTACCATCAAGTCCACTGCACTAATACTAATGAAAAAGACCCTAGTTCACTGACTTTCAAGAACCAAAGAACCAAGGAAGATTAGCAGTCATGCACAGACGATGACAAAGATGGGAAAGAGGAAGAAGAGAGAGAAACATCAAAAGGAGAAGGGGGGGGGGAAGTTTCTTTCTTTTTAATCTCTTGTGACGCAGACACACAAAACTTTGGTGGTCTGATGGTAAGGAGGTGCACCATCAACCCAAAGGCAGGAGTTTGAATCCACCAGCTGCTCCCTGGTCCATTTTACAGCCTCAGAAAACCCACTGGAGGGTCAGCAATGAGTCAGTTCTGACTTGACAGCACATCACAACATCTCAGCTAATGCAAACATACGACTTAAGGACAGAGTAAAGGTAAAAAAAGAAAACATCTATCTTCAAATCTGTACTGCCCAGGGGGACATGTGATAGAGTCCACACAATAATCTTAGGTTCAAAGTCCTGTGTGATCATGATTTTCTACATGTGAACTATGGTTTAGTTACTGGTCTTGCTTCCTATCTTAGAAGGATGGGGAAAGACTATTATTTTTTATTTGTTTATATATAGGTGTGGGTTTCTTCTGTTTGCCTTCTTCAGTGTTCACCTATTCATTCTATAATCTCTTTTTATGAGAAATATAAGAATACAAATCACAACGTGCTGGAAACAAAAGAATGGGGGGTTCCCCCCCAATGTTTAATAGAAATTACAGTCATAACTGAGTTTAAACACTACTAAAACAAAGAATAATCACTGAGAATTTGAGGAAGATTACACCATCATACTGGTATCTTTTGGATTCCTCATTTTATGTAAGGACTATGAATGTTAAAATGAGTCCTTTTATTCTCTTTGCTTTGCCAATTTTGCATGCTATCATTAATACTTCACGGACTACATGCCAGAGCCAGAGGCGTGCTCAACAGCAACAGAACTCAAAATGTGAGTCAGGGGCCCTTGAAGGGGTTATCCAAAAACCTTTCTGGAAGTCCTACAGGTAAATCTACCTTGATAATACTCACCAAAAACAAACCCACTGCTGACTCATCACATTTCCAAAGCTCTAAATCTTTCCTATCCTCTCCCTTTCCCCTGAAGCAGCTGTGGGTCTGAACTGCTAACTTTTTGGTTAGTAGCAGTATGCAGTATAGCACTAATATTATGGCATTAGTTTCCTTTTCCATTCTCATTTTTATCTAATGTGGTCAATGGATTTTCCAAAGGTACACGAGTGCAGGAGTGGTGACAAGTAGTCAAGCTAACTATTAAGACCAAACATTACACAGTTGTGAAATGGTATTTGTGTCAGCTGTATTATTGTTCATTTGCATGGATTAATACATTTTTTTAGGTTCTTAAATTTTCAGGACCTGAGGGGTTCCTGAGATGAAAATGTTTTAAGAGTCACTGTCCTGCACTAAGACACGTTGTTGTTGTTGATGATTGCTGTCGAGTTGAGCACGACTCATAGTGACCCTATGAACAAAAGGCCTGAAGCCTTTCTATAACTATCGCCACTTATCAAAGTTCATAGTTTCCAGAGGCAGGTTGGTAGGAAGTGGATGCCACACCTGCTATTAAATAGATAATTCCTTTAAAACCAACTGAATTTCAGGAAAGGACCTCCACATTCACTAAAGGAAGAAAAGTTTTCTTTAATTCTTTGTTAGTACATTTCTCCTCTTTAACACAGCAGTAGAGATAAATGAAGAGATAGCCTAAGTAAACGCTCATCATAGGTGCTAATGGCCTCTATGGCACATTACAAACAATGAATTCCAGAACACTCAAGTGTGTTCATTTGAAACCTGTATGAAGACCAAAAAGAAGTCATCCCAACAGAACAAAGGTACATGATTTAAAATGTTTTGAGTAAGGGTTGAATACTTTCTCTATGCATACTGAATATGTATGTTGTGCAAATAATTTAAGAGATTGTACTACATGAAGAATAATGTGGCATCAGGATTATAAAAAGACTTATCAACAATCTTTCCTATGCAGATAACACAACCTTGTTTAGAGAAACGGAAGACTTCAATATAGATTTTATTTGAACATCAAGAAAACAAAAATCTTTAAAGCTGGACAGATAGGAAACATCAAGAAAGATGGAGAAATGACTGAAGTTGTCAATTATTTCACTTTCTTTGAATCCACAATACCCTTGGAAGCAGCACTCAAGACATCAGAATGAAGCCAATCTCTGTCAAGGACCTCTTTGAAAGTGTTGAAGAGCAAAGACGACAGTTTAAAGACCAAGTGGTGCCTAACCCAAGCCATGGCGTTTTCTATGTGTGAACATTAGATAGTAAATAGAGGAGACCAAAGAACACTTGATGCTTTTGAATTGTGGTACTGGTAGAGTATTGATGATCTCATGGATTAAAAAAAGAACAAACAAATCCAACAGGGTGGAGGCAGAGATGGTGACGCTTCACATACTTCACAAACTTTGGGCTACTGTCAGGAGAAAGACTTGTATAGAAAGTAGAAGGCGAAGAACCTCAATAAGATGGATTGACACGGTGCCTGCAACCATCATGCGGATGGCAAAGGATAGGCTAACGGTACAATCTGGTGTTCATAGGGTTGCTAAGATTTGTGGTTATCTCATCGGCACCGAACAACAACAACCTTACAGAGAGTGGAACCTTACAGAGTATGACAATATGGAGCCAGATTATTGCTAGAAAATTCCATCTGCACTCACTTTGTGACTTTTGGCAAATTACATCACCTTCTGAGCCTTAGCCTTTTGGTCTATAAAATGGAAATCCTAAGAAAAATCTATCTTCCAAAGTTGTGATAAATACCAAATAGCAACATTGTAGGTATTCGTAAAGGGCTGCATATTATTGTTTTATACATATAAAACATTTTATATGTATTTACATGTACATATTGTACATATTTGCATAATTTAAAAAAGAATTCTCAGATTTCAGTGAAACAAACCACTCTGATCCAAATGATGAAAAAGGATACTGACATTATTCATGGTTTTTGTTTTCTTCTAAATATTATGGCATAGTAAGAAAAAAGGAGTAAGGGTAACACTTATATTTGTTATATTTGATCAGGGCTTACAGTTTCTAAAAATCCCAAGAAAGTAAGAATAATTTTGTCATGTTCTAGGTAGGGAAACCGAATCTCATTAAAGTTAGGAGACTTCAACACGGCCATGTGGCCAGTGATATAATGAGTATGTATATTTAGGATTTCTGAATTCTAAATTGAGCAGCTGTTCTCTTCTAATACATGCTTCCTAGTGCAGCATAACAGGAAGGGAAGAGAATCTGAGATGATGGGGGGTCTACGTGGAGCTGTGAGCCCCCACAAAAAAAAGAGTTAAGTCTGAATGTATCTGTAACCTTGATGTAACTCAGACCAGGCATGCCACAATGAAAAGACACACATACACACACACACACACACACACACACACACACACACACACACACTTTAAGGGTGTACACACAAGAGTCAAAACTCAGCAGGGTAGCAAGTACTGTCTAGATGCTCCTTCTCATTACTTGGGATTTCTACTGAGATTTGCACTTAAATTCACTCAAAACTGGTCTCTTTTTTTCTCTGTCCTGTTTCCA